TCATGGGATGCTCATGTGTGCCCTGGAGGAGCCAGAGGTGCATGTCTTACGTGGAGAAGTCACTACCTTCTTGTTTTGCTTCTTTATTTTGGATAGGTGAAACAGAAAAAAACGTTTCAAAAATAACAACAAATAATTGATGCAAACTTGCAGTACAACCCTCTGGTTGCAGCTGGAGCCCAGCTGGGAGGAAAAAGACTTCTAAGGCAGAGAAAAGGGAGGCTCTGATTATTTATTAGTGGCCGATGTTTGATTGCTTGCTAATCAGTCCAGAGAACACTCAGGCTCTCCTGGCCTCCCTGCTCACATGTGGTTCCTGTTGCTTTGCCCCTTTCCCCCTCCCTCTCCCTGGTTTTGCTTTGTTTGTTTTTCTGTTAATTTGGTTGTTTTTTCCATGTCATTTTCCGTCAAACCGCATGTTTTTTCCTCTTTCTCTCGCCAGCCACTGCAGTGACAGACATGGAGGAAGCAGGCCAGCCTGGGACTGCCTGTACTCTGCCAGTCCCTTTCCCATATCCATGGCCTGGGAGGCAGCAATGCCCATGGGACAGCGCTGGGGCTGGCACCAGGCCACAAGACCCAGGCCACCACTGCAACATGGAAGAAAACTCCACTGCCTGCATCCCAATCCATGCCCCTGCTGCTGGAGGGGATTCTGCTGTATTTCCTCCCCCATGCTTGCACTCCATCCTGTCAGGCAGCAGCCTTTTTGGGCAGCAGGCTGAATGATGAGGGTCAGATGCATGTCCATGAGGGCTTGGACATCCCCAAAGCACCACAGAAGGGCAAAGGGGAAGAGGTGCTGGGTCGGGATGGAGATAAGCAGGTTAGAAGGGGATGGAGGGATGGGAGTAGAAGGAGGGTGCCTGCCCTCGCTGCCTCCCTCCCTTCTCAGCACACAAGGCCTCCCCTCTCTCATGTGCACTCTCCAGCTTCTGGCAGCCTTTCCGACGCGCGTTTCCACTCCTCTCTGGCCCATTAGCAGTATTTTTATAACATTCTGTAACGCACAGTGCCGTGTGCCAAACCTCAAGAGTGCATTATTTCCCAACGTCTTTGTTATATCCACCCCCGGGCCCTCCGGCTGCGCGTTTCCAAATCCAGAACTGTGGCTTGTGGGGGCAGCCAGGAGCCCGGCACCGCACTCCTGTTACCCAGAGCCTTGTGCTCCCTCCTCCCCTGCACCTGGTGCTCAGCCCTGCGCTCAGGACAGCGATGCCTGGGGTGTAAAAAGAGCTGGACCCATCTGCCGCTTCTGGTGGGCATCTGCTGCTGTCAGGCTGCAGGGCAGGTGATCACTGAAGATAAGCACCTGGTTGTTCTCCTGTGCTTCACCTCATGCTCAGCTGCCTGAAGAAAGGGGCAGACCAACAAGTCACTGCTCAAAGTGCCCTGGCAGAGGTTTCTTCTGGAGAAGTGCCAGCTTCCCTCAGACCAATTTGTGCTGAGGAGGATGCATGCCTTGTAGAGGGCTGACCTGGGACCTTCAGCAATAGACAAGCCTGGGGATCCCTCCTTGCCATCCCTGAATCACACTGTCCCGCTACATGTGCATCAGCGCTCCCATTTCTGCATTGAGTGAGACAGCCCAGCTACTCCCAGCCTCTGCAGGGTGCTGCTGGGCTCCCAGCCACATCCCCCACGATGTGCACTCAGGTGTCAAACCCCTCTAAAGGATCAGATAAGTTATTTGTGCCTTTCCTCCCCCCTGCTGAAGCATATTGATAAAACACCTCCACACATTTGTGCCTGCACCATTAATGTAGCATGTTGGTCCTTTCAGCACAAAATCCCCACCCCAGATATCTTCTTGTGCCTCCTTAGCCACTGGCATGTCCAACCAAAGCCCCTGGTCCTTGTGGGCCAGAGTCATTACAGATAACACCACAGAGAGTGGCCCAAACACAGTCCAACCATGGTGCCAAAGTTTCCCCATCCCTTCCAGGAGCTCCCCCTTTCAGCACAATCTGATCCCCTGTAGCTATTTCCTAAGCTGTGTTCCAATTCTCATACTAATCCACATTTTCTCTGGTTTAACTCATAATTTCCCATGTGGCACCATAGCAAATACTTTACTGAAGTCAAGACAGATTACACTGACCACATTTCTGGGCTTAGAAAACCGGTTCCCTTATCAAAGAGAGCTATCAGGTTAATCTGCTGTGATATATCCCTGGCAGGCCCCCCTTGTATTTTTTTCCCATTTTCCATTTCTCTCCACGTCTTTAATTGCTCCCTCTTCCAAGTGCACTGTGTGGCCCCCACTGTGCTGTGGGGTCAGGCTCTGACGAGTAGACACGTTGCACTGGGTACCACCACTGGCCCCTCAGCTGCTAATGAGCCTTGCTAATGAACAGGTGTCCTCACATGGGGATGAGGTGCTCCCCAAGCCCTCAGTGCACTGAAGGTGCCTCCAGAACAGAGGGTAACCTCCAGGTTTTATGCTCCCTCCTCGCCCTTAGCCTGTGCTGCCCTGGCTCTCAGCATCGCTGCTCGGACCTGGTGAGGTTCATTTGGTATCGGGCTCTGCCGAGCTTATGTTTAATCTCCCCTGAAACCTGTCTGCAGGACCAAGTCTGCTCTTTTCTCCTCGTTTGCTCTGTATTTATATGGCTAACCCCCCTTTTCATTTCCTCTGCAAGGTCTCGCTCAGCTTGACTCCTGGCAGATCTCCCTTTATCCCTGTGCTCGCTGACCCCCACGACAGAGCTTGCTTTGCTAATTGACACCCTTTCCTGGTCCTCAACCCTCCTCTGCTCCCTCTACACATCCTTCCTGTGGTGTTGTATGCTCAGGAGCACCCCTGCCTTGCCTGGGGAGCACATTCCAGGTACCATCATTTATTTAATGAGATCCCCAGCACTTCTCCACGTGCAGCCCCAGCCTCTCACTCTCGCTGCAATCAGCTTTCTTGTTGCCCCAGCAAATGAGAAAAATGCAGGCACAGGCCTGTTTTCATTTAATTTCCCATGCAATTGAAACGAAATGAGTCCAAGATCCCTCAAATCCCAGGTCTGGGTTCCCAATGCACTCAGCTGCAGCAGCACTGCTACCACAGGGCCATGCTGCAAACCTCCCACAAGTTACCCATCTCCACCTCCATCCCCAAGCCCATCTCCCTTCCCTGCCGGGATGCTCCCAAATCCACTCCTTTGCATGAGTCCTCACACCTCCAGGGAATCAATCATTTCCAGCAGAGCCAGGACCTTAGGGTGGGGTGGGGAGGCAGGGGCTGGGGGTGCAGCACTGGGAAGAGAAACCTCACAGAGAGCGTTAAATTAAAATCCAGACAGTTAAATTAATTACCACTAAAAGCGTCTCACCTGATTAGTTCCTTGCACAGTTAATTGTGTTAACAATGCCAGAGACTTGTTTATTTATTTGTCACCCTCTCTCTGGAGGCTGGTGGCCCCAGCAGCGTCCAACTGGGTTTCTCAGCTGCCCCAGTGCTCAGGGGGCTGTGACTCTCCAGCAAATGGGAACACACAGTAATAGGGAACAGCAGGATTTGGGCTCTAACGCTGAGCAATTCCCACGGGTCCCTGAGCAGATTGACAGGGATTACTATTAGCGAGGTGCTTAGCAGATGGAGGAGCCATTGCAAAATCACAGCGATGCCACAGCTGCAGAGGAGGTGGTTGGAGGCTGTGGAAGTCTCCCCACTCCCCTTGTTTCCTGCAGGCCTGGGCTGCAGCCCTCTGTGCACTGGCACAGCCTGGGACCTCTCCCCACATGGGATCTGGTGAGCACATGCCCAAGCAGAGGAACTGCACAACCTCCTTGTGCTGCTGCCTGCACTGGGCCCAGCTCCTGCCTTTTCTGGCTCTGACCCAGCTGTGAACACCTCCTGAGCACAGTGCAGATAAAAGGGCCCTGACTCATTTGTTGGGCAGTGGCAGTGGCCTTTTTGTCTGCCATGCTCCCAGCCCCCACTCCTGCTCACTGGTGTAAACCCTGCCCTGTGCTGACTGCTGCCCCTCATCTGCTCCTCACATCGCCTTCCAGCTCCTTCCAGCACCCCTTCTCCTTGGCCCAGACACCAGAATCCATCCCACATGTCCTTAAATGAATTGTACACTGCAGAGCATCTCTAAAATTCAAATCTCTAGGTGCAGTGAACCCCTCATGCTTTATTTTCAGGGCTTACACAGACCTACCTGTGACCCTCTGTCCCTGGAGCATGGCCTAGGATGGAAACACCACCCTGGCTCTGATGCCAGTGCAGAAGGTGAGATAAGGAGTAGAGGAAGACTCTGCTGTGTCTTCCAAACCTGGGAACATACAGCCACCTACACGACACAACCCTGGATGGCGGGGTTCCCAGCTGGGAATCACAGTTACCATCCCACAGCCAGCCATGCCGGCTGGTGCTCCCAGACACCCACGGCTGCCAGTTGCACACGCCATGCTGCAAAACACACAGTTGCTATCAGCTGTACAAACACAGCAGCCCTCAAAACACACAGCTGCTATCAGCTCTCAGCATCATGTGAAATACAGCACAACTCTTATCTCCCCCGCTGAGGCCCAGGAATCAGTGCACCCCGTGCTGGAGATATGCAAAATGCTGGGGAATGAGCAGCTGTCCTCCAGCACACCTGTGCACCCAGGATCCTGCAACACCTTTGTGCTGCTCCTCTGAAACAACAACACTGCTGTAATCCTGGCCAGGGCTTCCCCTGGCTGACTGCAATCCTGTCCAATAGCTCTTTTCACCTACAGAGATGGCTGATGTGTCACAGGGCTAGAGGAAGAAGCTACATCCCTTCTCAAATTATTCCTGAGGCATCATTTAACCTGCTAGCTTTGATCCAAAGCTTGGGGCAGAGTGGCTGATTCCAAATGGGATTAGCATGCCATGAGGACCTCATACAGCAGTGTGCAGCAGACAACTCTATATATGGAAGGTAGAGGGGCTGGCATGGTAGGAGGGGGGGCTGTGGAGACTCTGTATGGGAGCAGAGACTGTCCCCCTCAATGTGGCATGCTGGGGTACTCACTTCCCACCCTCAGGTTGGTCTGGTATTTGAGGTGCCAGGAGGAGCCCTCGTAGCAGGAGTACTGGCCGCTCTGGGACAGGTCCACGTTCTTGAGGACCAGGTAGGAGCCGTTCAGGTGGGACTCGTCGATGTCAGTGCCGTTGGCTGTCCAGGTCACGGCTGCGTCCCAGTCCATGGAGCCACACTTCATGGTCACGTCTGCACCTACCCGCTCGTACTGAGTGTGGCTCTCTGTGGGAAGGAAAAGGGGAAAAACAGGTGAGCTCAGAGCCCCTCAGAACAGTTGCCTTGGGGATAAGATCTTACCTTCCTGTCTGGGAGGTAAAGAGAAGGACTGGGGTGTGGACTGACATTTTGCTGGTGGACCGGGAAGCCCAAGTTCTGCTCCTGTCCCCAGCCATGATTTATTTTAGACCAGCTGACAAATACCAGAGGATCAGGGACCACCTCCGCCCACAGGATGGCTTCCTCTCACCTTTGTTATGGTGAACACATGTCAGGGCTGCATGTTGGCTCACCAGCCAAACACCCCCCAGCATGGCCAGACACACAAGGCATTGCCAGTCGTGTGTCCAGGTGACTTGTTGAAGGACACAAACCAAACACGTGTCAGAAACTCCCAGCAGAGAGATCACACAGCCTTAGGACTTGTCACCAGCAAAATCCATGTATTTACCAGTGCAGACGGGAAGCAGGTAATTCTCCTTGCAATTCCCTATCCAGTAAACCAGGCAGGACGATTGCAAACTAACTGTGCTATGCTGTGGAAGGGCACAGCTGCTTGGTGCATGCAGTGCTGTTCGTCTCCTGTCTGGGTTTTCTTCTCTTTCCACAATAACATGATGCTTGCTGAGCTGTTTGATGTAACAGAGTGGGGCAACACAGCTCATTGGGCACCAGCTGCCTAATTGAATTTTCTCAGGTTTCTGGACAGGAGCTGGAGCTGACATTCATTAATGATCCTTAGCAACTGAATATTTCCTGTGTTGCTACACTTGGCTGTGCTAAGCTGTATGTGGCAAGGATAAAACCACGTGAGAGCGTGTGCGTGACACAGGGTGAAGCAGGATGGGAGGATGAATGGGGATGAGGTTCCTTCAAGGCTTCATCAAGCCTTTGTGCACAGACAAGGGTGGTTCACTTCTCAGAATTCTCCTGGGCTTCAAAATCACATTTGACAAGGTGCCTTCCAAGGAAACTAAGCAGCCCTGACACATGGGGAAAGTCCTTGTGAAGATTTATAGCAGCTAAAGTCACAAGACCAAAGGTGAAAACAAGCTGTCAAATGTAGCAGCAGAAGATGTCACTGCTGAAGTCTGATGGAGATCCGAGCTGGATCAGATCTGCCCAGCACCCTCGTAACTCACAGGTAGAAGGGGTCAGGGCAGAGAGAAGACAGAGTGCTGCTGAGGCTGTCAGCTGTAGCCAAAGCCCAGCTGGGCTCCAAAGTGCTGCAGGAGGACACCGTGGTACAGACCACCAGGCAGTAACCCTGTGCTGATTAATGCACAGTGGAATGCTTGCAGCCTTCCTTCCCTACACACTCATGGTTTCAAATGTGCCACAGCCTCCACGGGCACCCACCCTGGAGTCATCACACTCTCCTCCCTGAGAACATCAGCTCAGTGGTGACCAAGAACTCAAACCCAAAATGGAAAGAACTGTTACTCAAAAGCCATGAACAAACCTGTCCCCATGCTATTATGAGCACAGCATCCCTGAAAGCAGGGCAAAGGAAGGAAACAAGAACAGCTAAGGCTTGAAATAGATTCCATGTGAAGTTGGTTTAGTAGACTAACGCTTCATCCATAAAAGGGAACAACCAAGCAAAGATGTGACAGACACCTTAGCAATGACAAGTGACATGAAGAGGACAAATAGAGAAGGACTGCTTGCTCTTTCTCCTAATAAAATAAGGGGGAGCAAGACAAGCAATAGAAAGTGGTCTTTTTCTTTTGCACGAATTGTGATTAAATTACAGAAATCTATATCCATCAGATGCTGTTGATGTCAACATAGGAGGGGGGAACAGTGTGTAAATGAATTCACAGCAAAAGATGATCTAAAACACTGAGCTGCCCAGTGAGCCTTGGGAGACTGCAAGCAGCTGATAGTGGAGACAGATGGGATAAGCACCTCCAAGGCTTCTCCTTTTTTTCCTCCCTCTCCAGACATCAGCTCCTGGGACCCACTGGTAGGTGGGACCACATGGATATGATCCAGCATTCCTTGTGCCTAAGGCCACATCCTGATCCCATCTGCAAGGCTGGCTCTGGAGGAGTGCCTGGCAGGTCTCAGCCATCCTGCAGAGAGTCTGTCAGGACACCTGCTTCTGACAGGAATAGAGCACCTTTGGGGATGCTATCCCTAAAGGAAACATCAAAAGGGAAAGAGGGTGCTAAGGACAAGGAAAAAATGGTTTGTTGTGAGTAAGGTGCTGGTGGGATGCTCCAGTACAATTTCTGACACAAGCCAAGGATGGAAAACCTTTGGGAAACTATGCTGACCAGAAAAATATGTTTCAAGGGTCTTAAAAAAGCTGGGAGAATGTACTGACAGGCAGAAAGAGTGGAGAACAACTAAGATGAAGCATCTGTGTGAGGAGGGGTAGCTGGAACCACACCAGATACACAGACAGGCAGAAGTGGAAGAAGACAGTGGATGGATGAATGTGTGTAACCACAGACAGATGAACAGCAGGCTGGATGGGCACAGATGGAATGGAGGAAAGGAGGCATGGAAGGACAGTGAGTGGAGTGTTGTTGGGTGGATGGCTGGCTACTTGAATGGCTCTGGATGTAGATGGATGGTTGGATGATGAACGTATGGACAAGCAGATGATTAGGCACATGTGCGGATAGACAAATACAGATACCAGTTTCAGTAAGAATTCAAGCACCTTACTCAAGTTCTCTAATTTCTTCGATTGATAAGGTAAAGAGGTTTTGTCTTCCCATTTCCTGTTGACTCACAGGACAATTGACTATCCTGTCTTTACACCTGGAATTCTGCTTATCAGAGACACTGGAGCTCTGACACCCACCACTGCACCACCCACCAGCCTTGCACAGAGAAAGGCTCAGTGCAATGATGGATCCACAAACCTGCCACCCTTGCCTGGCTCCTGTCTGCCTGGTGCTTATTTCCAGATAAGGACTGAGATGGGGGAAAGCTCTGGGATGCTCAGCTCTGCCTCTCAGACTGAGGTTGAGAGCTTGTCTGTAGCTAGTGGCTGAAGGACTAAGTTGGGAAGGAAAAAAGTCACCTTGAGTTATTTCCTTAAACACAGTACAAACACACTGGCGTTCATCCAGAAGGGCTGAGGGAGCCATTCCTGGAAGACAGGTCTTTGAAAGCAATGCTCTTTTCCAAGGCAATGATTTAAGGTTCCTGATGAAGGAGAAACCCAAAGCACAGCTTCAGAGGAGGCATTTCTTCCAGCAAGGTTTGCTGAAGATCTTACTGAAGCAGACACAAGTCCTCATATCCTCCCTTGTCCCATGCCAGGTGTGGGAGTTGGGTAGGACAGTGACATCAGATGTGTGGCAGCCTCTTTGGGAAGGGGCACCATGGGGACAGCTGCCCAGGAATGCTGGAGAAGCCTGCAGCTCTGCTGTACGATGGGGATGAGCAGGGGTGACCAGAGCTCTGCTGGGATCCTGAACTTTCTCCAGGCTAGGAGAGAACTCAGAGCTCCACAGCTCCCTTGAACAGGGAGGGAAGGGAGGTTTGTCCACACTCCTGGTCACCGTGTCACTCACTGGTAACCCATGGGGTCAATGACCACAATGGTGCCTGTCCTGCAGGGCCAGCCCTTTTGGATGGATATTAGCTGGTGACAGGAGTGTCCTGGCGGAAGATTCCAGCTGGACATGGAGGATAATTTATTCTCCTGGAGGGTAACACAGCACTGGGAAAGGTACCCACAGAGAGAGGGATTCTCATCCATGGAGTTTGTCAAGGCTCTGCTGACAAAGCCACAGCTGACCTGGTCTTCTGCTGAGGACAGAGCTTTTCCAAGTGGGGCAGTGGACTAGACACTTCCAAAGATTCCTTCTCAGTAACAAGGACGTGATCACTGGCTAGAACTGACACCTCAAAATGCTGCCCTGCCCTGTGCCTGCACCAGCCTGCTTCTCCAAAGCATGCTGCCTTTGGGTCAAGTGCCATCACAAGGCTGTGATGTCATCATAGAGGGGCTGCACCCCAACCACCAACATGCCTCAGCATCCAATCCCACCAAAGGCCACATCCTCTGCCAGGCACAGCACACCTGCCAGGCACAGCATGAAGTCCCACATCTAGAAAGGCGCCATGGTGATGTACAATGGGAGAAATTACAGCTTTACCCATATCTATGCAAAATTGCAGTGGAGGGAAGATGGGAATAAACATCAGAGCTTCTAGCTGTGGGATAAACATACAAATTCTAGTAATGAACCTGGGGCAGCTTGGTGAAATGAGCTGTGAGCTGCTTTGCTGCACTAGCAATGATGAGTGGCAGCTTGGTAGGTCCTGCAACTGCAACAGGGACCAACAGGACAGCAGACAGCAATCCAGCAGAGAGATGTGAAGGGAAAATGAGACAAAGCAGCTGAGACATGGGGCCCACGGAAATATATTCTATGCTTCCCAAATCCATCCAGCTGGAAATCCAATAGAAACCTCATCCCCATTTTCCTCCTTCATGAAATCTTGACCTACACAGAAACTGGAAGGGAAACAGCACAAGAAAATCCTGCAAAAAGGTGAGCACTGCCCTGGCATGCACCGTGCTAGGAAGAAGCAGAACTCCTCTTGGCACCTCCCATCTCCACTCCTGTGCCTTTGCTCCAGCTGAGGCTCCCACCCAGCCAGCATGGGCAGCTGCCAGGCATGGCAGGAATGCTGCTGGGCACTGGCATGTGAGGAGCCACAGACTGGCACTGGGGGTCTGTGCCAGACACCTGAGGGGTCACTGGAACAGCGAGCAGAGGAAGTGGAGAGGACAGTTTGCATTCCTGGCACCAGAGCTCACCACAGCCCTTTAATGGGGGTCTTTCAGCCAGGGCCCGTGGCAAGACAACATCCAGCAGACACACACAGGGCCAAAACCACCCTTGCTGTCACAGTGATTTGCAGGCAGACCGGGACAAATATTCCCTCTGAGCTGAAATGCACTGCAGGCTTGTGGCTTGAGTAAGCACAGAATGAGAAAAAGAAAGGCATTGCAGCATTCTGGGGAGAGGGAA